CCCCCCTCCCTACCCCGCTTTCCTCCCTCTCCATGGAGCCCTGCAGTAGCGGCGGCGGCAGCAGCCCCGGCGGAGCCAAGCGGAGCCGAGACGGCGCGGCCAGAGGTAAGGAGGCAAGGCAAGGGGGGCGCGGCGCGCTCGCGGGGTAGAAGCGGGGTAAGGGGCGAGGGCGCGCTCCGGGGTGGGCTGCCGTCTCGGCTGCGGCGGATCGGGGGCCAGCGGGAGGGGAGGCGGCCCAGGGGGGCTGGTCCAGGAGGGGGAGCGACTCCCCCCCTCTCCAAGGGGGGAGAGAAGTTGGGTGAAGTGCAAAAACGGGGGGTGGGGTGGACTCCAGAATTGCGGGGTGGTGGCCAAGGCTCCCTCTAAGCTGTGGAGTCCTGTGCGCAAAAATTCTACTTTGTGAGCTGCTGGCATTAAAGTTGTGAGCGAGCGATTGGGCTGCTGCATGCATTGGTTTGCTCTGGAGCCCTCTTTCCTGAGCCAAGACCAAAATGTGTGAGCCAGAGGCTAAAAAACTGTGAGCTGGCTCACACTCACTCGGCTTAGAGGGAACACTGGTGCCAATGTTCCCTCTAAGCTGTGGAGTCTTGTGAGCAAAAATCCTACTTTGTGAGCTACCGGCATTAAAGTTGTGAGCGAGCGATTGGGCTGCTGCATGAATTAGTTTGCTCCGGAGCCCTCTTTCCTGAGCCGAGACAAAAATGTGTTGAGCCAGAGGCTAAAAAACTGCGAGCCGGCTCACACTAACTCAGCTTAGAGGGAACACTGGTGGTGGCGAAAGGGAGGTCATTCCGGAGCAGTGTTCCCTCTAAGCCGAGCGAGTGTGAGCCGGCTCACAGTTTTTGAGCCTCCGGCTCACACGTCCCTGTCTCCGCTCAGGAAGGGCGGCTCCAGAGCAACCCGATTGATGCAGCAGCCAGAGCGCTCGCTCGCAACTTGAATGCCCGGAGCTCACAAAGTGGGATTTTTGCTCACGCGGGACTCCACGGCTTAGAGCAGTGGTCCTTCTAAGCTGAGTTAGTGTGAGCCGGCTCACAGGGCTTGAGCCTCCGGCTCACACCTTTGTGTCTCAGCTCAGGAAGGAAGGCTTCCGACTGCAGTGTGCCCTCTAAGCTGAGTTTTTAGTGTGAGCCAGCCCACAGATTTTTAGCCTCCAGCTCACACATTTTCGTCTTAGCTCAGGAAGGGTGGCTCCAGAGCAAACCAATGCATGCAGCAGCCCAATCGCTGGCTCACACCTTGAATGCCGGCAACTCACAAAATAAAATTTTTGCTCACAAGACTCCACGGCTTAGAGCAGTGGTCCTTCTAAGCTGAGTTAGTGGGAGCCGGCTCACAGGGCTTGAGCCTCCGGCTCACACCTTTTTCTCTCGGCTCAGGAAGGAGGGCTCCAGAGCAAACTAATTGATGCAGGAGCCAAATCGCTCACCCACAACTTTAAGGCCACACGGGTTCCACAGTTTAGAGCAGTGGTCCCTCTAAGCTGAGTTAGTGTGAGCCGGCTCACAGTGCTTGAGCCTCCGGCTCACACCTTTTTCTCTCGGCTCAGGAAGGAGGGCTCCAGAGCAAACTCATTTATGCCCGTTCGCTGGCTCACAACTTGAATGCCGGCAGCTCACAAAGTAGAATTTTTGCTCACAGGGCTCCACGGCTTAGAAGGAGCGTTGGTCCAGAGGGAGAGGGGGGTACTTGGCATGGAAGAGGGCCAGTGCGGGAAAGTTGGCATCGGAGGAAGAGTTGTTACCCCAGATTGTTAAAAGGGGGGAGGCGACCAGAAAAGTCCCTTGCGAAAGGGAGGCCAGGAGACGCACGGGGGGGGTGGAATTGGGGGGGGGATCCTGGGGGAAAGCCACCCCCCCCCAGGATTTGGGTCTCCTAAAGTCCCCCTCCCCTTTCCAATCCTTAACAGAAGCAGTCGATTTATACCCAATTGTGGTTTGCATGTTGCCTCAGAGGACTGATGGATTTGTTTGATCTTGTGGATAAATTGCTTCTGTGTGTTTTGAATTTTTTTTATTTTATTTTTTTTATTTATTATCAAATTTGTACCCCCGCCCTCCCCGCAAGTCTAATCCCCTCCGTGGTGGTGCGTTTGTACCTGTTCTCGGCACCGCCCTCTAATGGAGGAGCCCTGCCATGCGTTGACCAAGGGTCTTACCCTGAAAGGGCGGGCGGGGGGGGGGACACACGAATGTTCTCTCTAAGCTGCGTTAGTGTGAGGTAGACTCCGGCCGGCTCCAGAGCAAACTGATTTATGCAGCGGCCAAATCACCTGCTCACAACTTTAGTGCCGGTAGCTCACAAAGCAGGATTTTGGCTCGCAAGACTCCACAGCTTAGAGGGAGCGTTGGGGGGGGGGGACGACTCTTGTGTTAGGGGGTCAACCACCCCTTTTGCCGCCCTTGGTTGACCTGGTCGGCTAACTGGTTTCCTCTTTGAGCCTCCTGCCCCAATAGAGATGGGGTTGCAAAACTTGGTTCCCTGCCGATGCGCTCACAAATTGGGGGGGGAGGCATGTGCCTCAGTTTCCTTATTGCACTGTTTCTCTTTATTCCTGGAATTCCACCGAACTCCAGAGGTCAACGCGGAGTATTTCGTTTGGTCACAGGCACAAGGAACTGGGGGTAGTTACCCCGCGAAAGGGAAGATAGGAACTCCCAGTCTGGGGCAAGGGATGCTCTGTATTCTTGGTGCTTGGGGGGCAATAGTGGGAGGGCTTCTGGTGTCCTGGCCCCACTGCTGGACCTCCTGATGGCCCCTGGTATTTTTGGCCACTGTGTGACACAGAGTGTTGGACTGGATGGGCCATTGGCCTGATCCAACACGGGCTTCTCTTATGTTCTTATGTCTGGGGCAGGTGATGCTCTGTCTTCTTGGTGTTTTTTTTGGGGGGGCTCAACAGTGGGAGGGCTTCTAGTGTCCTGGCCCCACCGCTGGACCTCCTGATTGCACCTGGTATTTTTAGGCCACTATGTGACACAGAGTGTTGGACTGGATGGGCCACTGGCCTGATCCAACATTGGCTTCTCTCTTATGTTCTTAAGTGAGCAAATCAGTTTGCGTTTGCTTCTGGTGTGCGTGTGAAACAGGAGTGGGTTTGAAACGGGTTAAGCCGGTCCGCACGGAACAGGAGTCATTTATGGGCACACAAGTGTGCTTTGCTTGCTTTTAAATATCAGAGTGGGCCTTGCGCGGCATTTCTGCGTGGCCCCGGTACCCGGGGTGAGACCCAGGTTCGAATCCCTGCTCTGACGTGGAAAGCTTGCTGGCTGACCTTGGGCCTGTCACACTCTCTCAGCCCACCTCGCAGGGCTGTTGTGAGGGTAAAATGGAGGAGAGGAGAATGACGTGAGCCACTTTGGGCCCCCAAACGGGGAGAAGGGGGGGGATAGCCATGAAGTAAATAAAGGGGGGGGGAGAGAAGGTATATTCTGGCAGGTTCTCTCCCCTGCCCACCAGCATCTGTCACGTAGGGTGGTTGAATGTGGTTGGTGAGAATGAGAATAGCGTTTGCCTTCAGTACCAGCATCAGAGGTATGCTCCTTGGGGGAAGAGACCTCCCCCTTTTAAATTACTCTGTGAACTGTGGATGATCCTGCTAAGCAAATGATCCTGAAAATGAGGGGGGCTGGCCTTCCAGGGGAGTGGTGCGCTCAGAACATTTGCTGTCTGTTGCTTGGGTGTATCCCCAGGCCAAAGACCCCCATCCTGGGAGATCCACATGGGGGGGGGGGCGGTTGTGGCACAGTGGTAGAGCAGAAAGTCCCAGGTTCAATCCCCGTCATCTCCAGTTTAAAAGGACTTGGTAGTAGGTGATGGGAAAGACCTCCGCCCGAACCTTTGGAGAGCGGCTGCCGGCCTGAGTAGACAATACTGGCCTCGGTGGACCAGGGGTCTGATTCGGTATTTGACAGGTCTGTGTTTTGGCGAGGGGCCGTGGCTCAGTGGACGAGCCTCTGCTTGGCATGCAGAAGGTCCCAGGTTCAGTCCTGGACGTCTCCAGTTGAAAAGACCAGGCAGCAGGCGGTGGGAAAGACCTCTGGCCTGAGACCCTGGAAAGCAGCTGCCACCAGAGTAGACAATACCGACCTCGGTGGACCAAGGGTCTGATTCAGTATTCGACAGGTCTGTGTTTTGGCGAGGCGCTGGGGCTTAGTGGAAGAGCCTCTGGACCAGGCAGTAACTGATGCAAAAGACCTGAGACCAGAGTTCCCTCTAAGCTGAGTGAGTGTGAGCTAGCTCACAGTTTTTAGCCTCCGGCTCACACATTTTTGCCTTAGCTCAGGAAGGATGGCTCCAGTCCAGAGCAAACGAATTCATGCAGCGGCCAAATCGCTCGCTCACAACTTTAATGCCGGTAGCTCACAAAGCAGAATTTTTGCTCACAAGACTCCACAGTTTAGAGGGAACTTTGCCTGAGACCCTGGAGAGCAGCTGCCGGCCCAAGCGGACAACACCGATCTCAGTGCGCCAAGGGTCCGGGTCATCTCTCTTACCCCTGGCTGAAAACTGGAATGCCCACCCCCCCCAAAAAAGCAGCCAAGTCTCCCGGTCTCTCTCCTCCCTCCCAGCCCTCTGGTTTTGCCTTTCTTCACCCCCCCCTTGTTGACAAAACCTGGGTGCTCCTGCCGAAAGCCCCAATTAAGCAATTTGCATGGCGGTTACGGCAGAGCGGCAATTTCGACAAAGTGCCAAGCCCGGCTCCCTGTTGCGCTCGGCAGAGAGAGAGAGATGGTATCTCTGGGAGCAGAAGGCTGCTTTCCAACGCCGCCCGTCCAGTTTCTCAGCGCCTGCCTGGGTTTCGCTCCCTGGCGTTGCTCTCTCTAATGAGCACCTTCTTCCCGGGGAAGGAGGCCTGGCTCTGGCCCCTTTGGGGTGATGGCCAGCCCCGGGTGAAGCCCAGGTGGGAAGGCCTCTCTTCCCTCCACGCAGGGCGATGGTCATCCGACAATTATGGGAACCTCCAGCTGCGAGTGCCCTGTGGGTGACTGATTGATTGGCTCGGTCTCCACCCCGCCTTTCTCCCCGTGGGGACCCAAAGCGGCGTACGTCACCTTCCATTTTGTCCTCACGACAGCCCTGGGAGGTAGGTTAGGCGGAGACAG